CCCATAATAGTCAAGGACTGTAAAAAAATATAAGGGCATGAAAAAACCCAATGTTTTTGGCCTAAATCCATTTTACTTAAGTTTGACCTTTTTTATTGAATTTTTCAAGGTCACACAAAGTCAAAATAGCTTTACATAATATAGAGTGGCGGAAGATGACTCAGGTGGTGCCCTGTAATTTTCAAAGGGCATGAATAAATTTTAAATCATTAAGAAACCTGATTTTTTGGGCCTCAATCGATAATACTTTGGTTTAAACTACTTATATTGATTTGTCAAGGTCATACAAGGTCAGAATAGGTTCATCGAAAATTCAGATAGACCGAGCATAACTCAGAAAGTACCTTGTAATATTAAAAGACCCTAAAAAAAATTTGAGGGTATAAAGAAACGTGATGTTTCAGGCCTCAATCCATAATACTTGCGTTTGATCTACTTGTATTGATTTTTCCAGGTCACACAAGGTGTGAATAGGTTTGATAGATATTAAGAGCGACGAAAGAGACATAGGAGGTACTTTGTCATTTTTAAGGACTATAAAAAAATTTTAGGCCGTAAATTACGCTTTTTCTTGGCCCTAAATCAAATTTACTAGGGTTTTACCTATTTTTATCGATTTTTCAAGGTCATACAAGTTCAAAATAGGTTCAATAAATTTTAGGAGGGTGGGAGAATGACTTAGGTGGTACTCTGTAATTTTTGATAACCATTGAAAAATTTGAGGGCATAAAGAAACCTTAATTTTTGGGCCTCAATCGATAATACTTGGGTTTGACCCACTTATTTTGACTTTTCCAGGTCACACAAGGTCACAATTGATTTGTTAAAGTTTCAGAGGGACGAAGGATGACTCAGGAGGTACCCTGTAATCTTGTAAGCCCAAAAAAAAATTTAAGGGAATGAAAAAACCTCATTAATTTCGCCTAAATTGATTTTACTTGAGTTTGACCTAGTTTTTTATATTTTTCAAGGTCATACAAGGTCAGAATACGTTCAGCAAATATCCAGAGGGAAGGAGGATGATCGGGAGGTGTACTGTAATTTTTGAGGGCTATCAACTAATTTTAAGGCATGAGAATTCTGATTTTTCTGGCCTCAATCTATTGTTCTTAGTTTTGACCTACTTTAATTGAATTTTCAAGGTCATACAAAGTCAAAATAAATTCAATAAGAATTAAGGGAAAGTGGATAACTTAGAAAGTACCGTTTGATTTTTAAGGCCCATAAAAATATTTTAGGGTATAAAGAAACTGGATTTTTTTGGCCTATATCAATTTGGGTTTGACCTACTTGGGTTTAACCTTCTTTAATTAATTTTTCGAGGCCATACATGGTAAAAATAGGCTTAATAGATATTAAGAGGGAGAAAGGATGCCTCAGAAAGTACCGTGTTATTTTTAAGGACCATAAAAAAATTTTAAGTCATAAAGAAGCCTGATTTTCAATCCCTTATTGGATATTACTTGGATTTGACCTACTTTTATCGATTGGTCACGGTTTTACAAGGTCAGAATTGGTTCATCAAATATTGAGATTGACGGAAGATAACTCAGAAGGTACCGTGTAATTTTATTAGACCATACAAAAATTTAAGGGCCGGAAAAAAACTGATTTATTGGGCATAAATCTATTATCCTTCGGTTTGACCTACGTTTGGTAATTTTCTAAGGTCATACATGGTCAGAATAGGTTCGTCCAACATATAGAAGGACGGAAGATAACTCAGGAGTTACCCTATGATTTTATAAGACCAAAAAAAATTGAAGGGCATAAAAAAAACCTGATTTTGTTGGCCTAAATGAATTTTACTTGAATTTGACCTACTCTTTTATATTTTTCAAGGTCATACAAGGTCAAAATACGTTCATTAAATATTGAGAGGGACGGAGGATGACGATAGACGTTCCCTGAAATTTTTGGGGGCCATAAAAACATTTTAAGTCATCAAGAAACCGGATTTTATGGGCCTCAATCAATAATACTTCGGTTTAAACTACTTTTATTAATTTTTCAAGGTCAAACAAGGTCAGAAGAGGATCATCGAATATTCAGATAGACCGAAGATAACTCAGGAAGTGGCCTGTAATTTTATAAGACCATAAAAAAATTTGAGGGTATGAAGAAACGTGATTTTTTAGGCCTCAAACGATAATACTTGAGTTTCACCTACTTGTATTGATTTTTCCACGTCAAATAGGTTTGATACATATTAAGAGCGACGAAGGATGACATAAGAGGTACTCTATAATTTTTAAGGACTATGAAAAAATTTAAGGGCAAAAAGAAACTGGAATATTCTGCCTAAATCAATTGTAATTAGTCTTACACAACTTTTATTAAGTTTTCAAGGTCATACAACGTCAGAGGAGGTTCAATGAAAATTAGAGAGGGACAGTGTATGACTTAGGAGAAACCCTGTATTTTTATGGACCATAATAAGATTTACGGTGATAAAGAAACCTGATTTTTGGGCCTTAATCGATAATACTTTGGTTTGACCTAGTTTTTTTGATTTGTCAAGGTCTTACAAGGTCAGAATAGGTTCATCGAATATCAAGATGGACGGAGGATAACTCAGAAGACAACCTGTCATTTTATAAGACCATATAAAAATTTGAGGGCATAAAGAAACCTAATTTTGTTGGACTAAATCTATTATCGTTCGGTTTTACATACTTTTATTAATTTTCCAAGATCATACAGGATCAAAATAGGTTCAATAAAAATTGAGAGGTACAGCAGATGACTTAGGAGGAACCCTGTAATTTTTAAGGACCATACCGAAATTCTAAGTCATAAAGAAGCCTGATTTTTAATCGCTCAATCGATAATACTTATGTTTGACCTACTTTCATAAATTTTTCTAGGTCACACAAGGTCAAAATACGTTCAATGACTATTATAGGGAATTATAATAGTTCCTATTAATAATGAATAATATAGGAAAAATAAATGACACAGAAAGTGCCCTGTAATTTTTGAGGGGCTATAAAAAAATTTCAAGGCATTTAGAAACCTGATTTTTTGGGCCTCAATATGTAATCCTTCGGTTTAGCCTACTCTCATTTATTTTTCAAGGTCATACAACCTTAAAATAGGTTCAATAAGAATCAAGAGGGACAGCGGACGACTTAGAAGGTACGCTTGAATTTTTAAGGACCAAAAAAAAATTTGAGGGCATAAAGAAACTGAATTTTTCGGGCCGAAATCAGTTCTTCTAGGGTTTGACCTACTTTTGTTAATTTTTTGTAGCAATAAAAATAGATCCAATAACAATTAAGAGGGAGAGAGGATGACTCAGGAGGTACCCTGTAATTTTATACGGACAAAAAATTGATTAAGGGCAAGAAAGAAACTGATTTTTTGGGCCTAAACCAATTTTGATCAAACTTGACATAATTTTATTTATTTTTTAAGGTCATGCAAGGTTAAAATCGGTTCAATAAATATTGAGAAGGACAAAGGATGTCCTGGAGGTAGCCCGTGATTTTTAAGGACTATAAAAAAATTTAAGAGCATATACAAACCTGATTTTTTGGGCCTCAATCGACAATACTTGGGTTTTACCTACTTTCATTAATTTTCCAAGTTCATACGACTTTAAAATAGGTTGAATAAGAATCGAAAGGCACAGCGGATGACTTAAAAAGTACTCATTGATTATTAAGGACCATAAAAGAATTTTGGTGAATAAAGAAATTGGATTTTTTTTGCATAAATCAATTGTAATTGGTTTTGACCTACTTTTATTAAATTTTTAAGGTCATACAACGTTAAAAGAGGTTTAATGAAAATAAAAGAGGGACAGTGTATGACTTAGGAAGCACCCTGTATTTTTATGGACCATAATAAAATTTACGGTCAAAAAGAAACCTGATTTTTGGGCCTTAATCGATAATACTTTGGGTTTGACCTACTTTTATTAGTTTTTCATGGTCATACAAGAACCGAAAATCTTAGAGAAATTTTAAAAATTCACTTTTTCCGAATTTTTTCGATAACTCACGAACCAATCAACCAATTTTCACGTTTATGGTGGCGATTGTATATCTTATGTATATATATAATTGTATATGGAACTATATATAATCCTGCATGGCTGTATATTGCTCCATATATAGTCATATATAATTATATATAGTCTTATATACAATTCCATTTATAATCATGTATGATTATCTATAATCATGTATGATTATATATAATTATATATAATTGTATATAATTATATATGTGATTCCATCTATAATCGTATATGATTATATACAATTATATATGATTATATAGAAAAATTGTTTCTCGGGTGCACTACATGTATGACACTATAAGTCAATATGCTATCAACAATGAAGACAAATTTGAGGATAAAATGGACAACTTTAACTCTTCCAAGAATATTATCTCTGCTAAGTGTTTAAGGAAAAATTGTCGGTACAATCGGAAATAAAAGTTAGTGACATATTTACTGAACTCATATCTTTTAATATCTGTTGAAATAAATGATCAAAATCAACCATTTTTTTTTTTTAAATAAATTTTGATGTTAAGTTTCTGAAAGAATAAAATCTACTGATCATTTTAATGATATTAACATAAAAATCTGAAAATAAGTTAAAATTGTAAAATAACTTTTGTTTGTGACTGTACCTTGAATTTAACTTTAAAAAAATAAAAACTTGAATTTTTTTTGTTGCTAATCATCAACACAAATTATCATAAAAATTAAAAAAAAAATTAGAAAACAAATACATACGTTCATAAAATTCCAAGTTCATTAAATTTTTTTTATTTATATGAAATAAATGTTATTTTTATTCAGGAAAGCGTCGCAACACCGCACCATTTTAATAGTTGGTAGTTGTGATATTATTAAATTTTAGAAGTAAATAACATGCGTATGCGCATTGCGCACTAACATGACTGTTTACCTCTTTGACGCAGTTCGAGGTTATTGTGTTGTATTGAGTGAGTGTTTGATATAATTAAATAAATAAATAAATATGTCGAAACCTGAAAGACAATATCGATGGAAAGGAAAAATTGTCAGCAAGAAAATTTTTTTACAACGAAGTAAACAATCGGAACTCGCGCGGCAACTACCACAGAAACGTAAACTTGATGAGTGCTAGACAGGTGAAAATTCTGAAGAGCCAGTGGATGACAAAAAAGATGAAAAAAATCCAGTATTATTGGATGGATATCGCATTGTAGATTTAAAATACTTGGCTCAACAATTATGGTGCACTACATGCAAAGAAACTTTATCTTTAGAGTATGCAGAATCAGAACGACGTATAGGGCTTGCATTTGTTTTGTTGGTTAGATGCCACAAATGCTTGTTGATCAATGAAGTTTATACTGGAAAACAAAAACCTTCCTTGGATAAACGTTCTTTTCGCTTTGACATTAACTGCAAATCTGTGATTGGTAAGAATTCTTTATTTTTATTTTCTGGATTTATAAATTTAAAATTGATCGAAGATTTGATTTTTTCATTCGACTTTTTTGTCATTTAAGGTACATTACACTGTGGATCGGGTTGGACACATTTAAAAAAATTATTAGCGTGCATGGATATACCCAGTTTTGGGTTTAAAACCTTTAAACAATACGAAAAAGAAGTTGGGTTAGCGGCTGAGGACGTCGCAAAAGAAAGTTTTAGAGAGGCCGCGAAATTAGAAAGAGAACAAACTATTCAGCAATCAGAAGCTTTAGAAAGCCAACTGTAAATACAATTAATTTAATTTTAATAGCAGCCCGGAAAAAAATTTTTTGAATCTATTTATACATTAGCGTCTGTTCGGTGAACAGGCCCACTCAGTGAGCAATACGTCACTGTGGGCTCCCCAAATTTACAACACGCACCTGACAAGCCATCGTTCCCGCTATTTCTCACCCGCATGCGTAAAACCGCCTGACTGATCACGCCACAGGTATCGAATTTTACCATTGGCTATCGATGTCGACATCAATAGAACGAATTTATTGATTGGCTATCGCTCTCGTTAGACATGCGCAGTAGCCTTCTTCTCCAAGACGAGGAAGAAGACGTATTATTATTATTATCTTTCGCTTCTCCGCCATTAAGTCTAACGCTTCGCTTTCCCGCTATTTTATTTCGCTCATCGTTAACTAAACGCATTTCGCTATTTTTATAATTGAAATTGCTTAAATTAACCGCTAATATTTCGCTTCAGTTTGTTTCAGATAAATTGTGTTTATTTGCTTTTGTTTCACCGCTTTTTACAGTGCCGGCAATTTGCTCAACCACGTGCTGACCGGCTTCGCATTGATATCCACGCTGTGTTTTATAAATCCGCTTTTTTCTTATCAATCCGCTATTGAATATATTAAATATTGAGTGTATTTATAGTAAATAAATCTCTAGTGATATTCTTAATAATAATTTTTGTATTTTAATTGAGATAACCAGACCGAAACCTGATCCTTAGTTTTTCCGCTCTTTCAGCATTTTACAGCGTCAATTTTTAGATAAATTTAAATTTTACAAATTGTACATATTCAATTTTTATTTAGACAGAAATTTTTTTGATTTGTGAATATTTTTTGTTTGATTTATACTTTTTTACAAAATATATACTCCTATACATTTCTTTACTTTTACCAGTAGAATGTATGATGATATCTTTTGAATTTTGGTGAAATAAAGTCCAAGTAAAAATTAATGAAACATATTATTGTATTTCTTTTCTTTTTCATTTTATATTTAATATTTAAAATTCTATTTAGCCCGAAAGAATTTCAATCCAATTTTATTATTCATCGGCGCCTTTCGAATGGAGATTTACCACCTTCTAAACCATTGACATCTGCAAATGTACAAGATTCATCAACATCTGAAGAATTAAATACAGTTGAAATTGAATCTGGTGCATCGTGGGATGATGTGGTAAGAGTAATGGTGTCTTACGATATGGGGTGGAGTACGCGAGCAACTGGTCGACAATACGATAGTAAAAATGGATTTGGAGCCATTATTGGAGGGTTAACTGGCTTAGTATTGGATTTTTCCACGTGTAATAGGATCTGCGCTACATGTAATCGAGGTGGCCCAACATCAAATCATGAAAATTGTCGGTTAAATTTTTATGGTTCAGCAAAAGCTATGGAACCTCATGTAGCTAAGAAACTTGTAGTTGACAGTGAGATACTTAGAGCTGAAAATATTGAAGTTGGAGTATTGGTAGGCGACGATGACTGCTCGACAATTGCTGCCTGCAGAGCTGCAGCTAATCATCCGATAATCAAGCAGTCTGATGTGAACCATACGTCAGGTGGAGTAAAAAAAAAAATTATATAGCATCCAAAAAAGTCATAAAGAATTAACTAAAGACCGTATTGTTTACCTTCATCGATGTTTTACCTATGCTTTATCACAAAATAAAGGCAATTGTTCAGGTTTAGCTGCTGCGATTCGATGCATACCTTATCACGCTTTCAATGATCACACTCAATGTGGCACATGGTGTGGCTATAATGGAGATAAAGAGAATTATGTGCATAAAGTAATTCCGGGGGGTTTTCAAGATCCAATTTTATTCCAAGAATTGAAAAAAATATTTGACAAGCTAGCCGACAATGCGCAAAAATTTTCTAATGGTGCATCTAGTAATGCAAATGAGAGTCTTAACGCGATGATGGCTAGCAAGGCTCCTAAATCTAGATGTTATAGCAGAACTGCATCGGCTGATTATCGTTTTGCTTGTGCTATAGGACAGAAGAATGTTGGAGAAGGATATGTTAAAAAGATTGCACAAAAAATAAACTTGACTTCAAGTAATCATCTTACACGGCATATTTCTTCAAGAGAAAGAATTTTGTCACAAAGACGCGCCCTAATAAAAACACATGCCTACAAAAAACGTCGTATGCAGTTGAAAAAATTTCGTTCTATGTTACGTCATCGTAAAGAAAATCAAGAAGGTGTTACATATCAAAGTAATTGTTCCCTTTTCACTGAACCTGCAGTACTTGAGGAAGAAATTGATGATAATGATAATTATTTAAATTCGGAAGAAGATACTTGTGAATATCTTATTATTCTTCTTGATCTAGAAACCTCAGGTTTTGAAGCTGATTGTGATATTCTTCAAATAGCTGCGCAATGTGGCAAAAAAATTTTTGCAACTTACATAGATCCAGTTCGACAAATTTCTCAAAAAGCTAGCGAAGCACATGGTTTGACAAATTGCTCTGGAAAGCTTTTTTACTATGGAAAACAAGTGGAATCTGTTTCTCTACGTTTGGCGTTATCTAACCTATACGAATGGCTGAAGTCTTTAGGAAAAAAATGCTGCATCGCTACACACAACCTAGCATTTGATGGACCTCGGTTATTTAGAGCTATTGATAAAAATAAATTAACTAGCGACTATTCTGAAGTTGTCTATGAATTTGTAGATACTCTGAAAAAAATACGTGAAGTTACGGGAAAAAAACCAAAGGTTCATGTTCTATTAGCGGATTGGCTGATTCTTTAAACATTGAAAAAGCTGGAGCACATAATGCAATTCATGATTGTGCAATTCTTCATCAAATTTTAAAGAAATTGGAAATTAAAAGCTCTGATTTGATTAATTTAGCGACTCCATTTTTAGAACAAACAAAAGCTTGGGAGCTAGCTGTAGCCACAAAGAAAAATATTGATACCTTATCATCCTTGGAAGGTGCTTTGAGTTTGTCAATTCGACAAAAATTGGCAAAAGCTGGAATCACAATGGATATCTTAAAAAGCAAGATTGATCCTTTTAATGCTAAAAGTCTCGAATTGTTTCTTGTTAAAAAAATTGAAACCAAAGAGTTGCAACCATTGCAAAAAGCAACTATAAAAAAAATTGTTGACTGTTTTAAATAAATTTAGGCTTATAATACTTGTAATCTTTAATATGAAGAATTTTTTTAAAAAATGTTACTTAATATCTGTTATTTTGCATTAAAAAATATCTAAGCTAATTTATGAAAAAATTTACGAAAATGTTAAATAAATTTAATGTCTCTATGAAATTTATACCGTTCCATTTTTTAATGGATTTTATTTACGTTTAAATTTTCGCGTCAACATACCTTATAGCAATCTTGTAATTCACTATAGTCGTATTTGACTGTATCTCTCGTATGATATTTGCGATGTTACGACGTTTTCCTTGTAATTCATACTGCTCATTCAATAATACGGTAAATATCACTAATTTTTATTATTTTTCTCGATAAACAATACTGAAACTACCAATTATTAATCGTTTTAATGTTTCTTGGATATTTGATCTATTGACTTGAATTTTTTAGAATTTTTCACATCACAATTTAATTATTTTTTTTTCATTTGAATAAGTCTAATAGCATGTTTTCCATTTAAGTACGTGTTAATTTGTTGCAACTAATAAGTGTTATAACTTTTTAACGAGCTTGTAAAAAAATCCCAATTTTTTTGAGGAGCTTCAGTAAACTTGTCAGAATAGTATATATTTTTTTCAATCGATTTTCATCATTTTATATTTACTGACAAATCATCCTTAATATCAATATTAAAATGGATTTATCCAGATAAACATTAACCTGAAGACCCATAAGAATATTCAAGATGTATCCATCAGTGCCACAACTCGTACAACTTCCTTCAATGATTAATCATAATGTCCAGCTCAACTAATGTTTAACTCACTATCTTAACAATTCAAGCAATAAATAACCCTGGAACCAAGAACTTGAATATCACCAGCCTATGTCAAAGCAAACCACTACAGCCAATGACATTTTCTCCAAATCGAGATCATCCGTTACAACGTTCCATGCTGAAAGACGTACTATACAACAAACATTATACAATAAGCTTCGTGGACTCCAAATTATAATTGGAAGGTCCATGACATTCTAATTTGTTGAAGGAACTGCCAATCATTATCATTTTGATGTGATCGAAACTTCATAAAGTATGATGACGAACTTGCAGAGAATCCAACCACCTAACATAGACCTTATCACCATACACTTCAAGACATCACATTGAAGCACAGCAAACTATTGAATACTTCTCACACGCATAATTGATTATAGTGAATCATGCTTATCATACACATACTAAATTGTAACACGTGACAATTACAAATCTAGTAGAGGCACAAACTATCGCAATTCTCCTTTTTAAGCCAAGCTTAAATGAGGGTCTTCGGGGACGAAGACGATTCTAGGCAGGGAGGTGTGACGAATGACGTTTATGCCACTACTCTAAATTTTTATGTTAATTAATCGACAGGGGCCGAGAGTTTTCTTCATCTTCCTAAAATATAATAACAAACTATGGTGTTGATAGAGTCAATCTTCACTTTTTAATGGTAAGCAATAGCCTCTTTCCCTAATGGAAATTAAATAACTTTATACGTACGATGTGAGGTCGCCAGGCAGACCGCGGCGCCAAGTATCCTCACGCACTAATAAAAGAAATCATTTTTATTTTTACAAGACAAGAGGTGGTAGCGATCAATAATTGAAGAAGTAGTATAAAAACCCTTTTAAAATAGTCATCGGGGCTCAGACTGCTGAAGGCTCTCGTCCTCGTCAGTTCGATATTCCAAACCAAAGTATTTTTTTCTACTAGAGTATAATAATGGAATAGAGACGGGTACTACTACTTGCTGGCCAACTGGTCTTTTATTTGAAAGTTCACAATATGGGTTATCTCTTCCAACGTCCTCACTAATGTCATTTTTCTTTAGATTACGTTTCTTCATTACACGCCATACTGAGTCACAAAGTACAGTCGCACCTACAAGTGCGATAGCATTGCAGATGTATACTAATGGAGATCTCGTTCCGTAAGACGCTGAGTGTACAGTCTGATTCAAACCCTTTTGTTTGATTGTACCCCAGATTCGGTGAAATTTTATACCTTCTAAGAATTGTATTTCATTTCCTTCACTGATTTCTTCTGAAACGTGGAGTAGATCCACATGCGATTCCTCGGCAAATTTTTCCAGTTCCTTTCCAGTTCTGATATTTTTGTGGCGATCGTTGCTTCCTATGTGGTTGTAAATTTCTTCTTTGCTGTCATTTAGTTCTACACACTTCAATCTTAATGATTTATTCGCTTCACACTTATCATGGACTATGTTCACTTTCTGAAATGCAAATAGCCATGCATTTATTCCTGTTGCTGGTGATATTTACTTCTTAACAATAACATAAGCAACTCACACCCTTTCCCCGTTTTTTTTTTTGTTTTTGTTTGCTTTTTTTTTGGTACGACTATGCATATCTATGTGTATGTATATACATATACATATTGTCACTAAATACTATGGTATATGTCTTTTCTTACAAGTTTGGATCTTCTTTCTCGGTTTCCTCTCGATAAAATTAATCCTGGACCCTCGTACAATGTGAGATGGTTGGCTGTTCATGATTCATCTCTGATAATTTCCCAAAACGCGTAATTCCTTTATTGGTCGATACACTCTTGTTCTGCCGAGTCATATCTTGATCCGCTTCCTCCACGATAACTCCATCCCCGCTGCCAAATTGATCGCTGTATGAAACTCCTGTGCATTTCCCATTTCCTGTTGTTTTTCTTGAGAGCATAATAGTTCAAAAATCTGTACTATTCCCTTTTTTTTCTTCTATAAATTCTGAATCGCCTATTCTTAACTTTCCATCTTCTTGTAATTTTTAGGTAGATTTCTTTAGAAAGATTTCTAAATAGATATCTATTGTAGCCAGTCTCATGTCGTAATTGGATGAGCAAGATCAGCTGATTAGTTTACCAGTTGTGAGTATTTAAAAAAATTTCTTGTAAAATGATGAAAAGGCGGAAAAATATGGGATCAGGTTTTGGTCTGGATATCTCAATTAAAACGCGCAAATTATTATTTAAATTAACACTATAAATTTATTGACGAGAGTCACCGCGGAGTCAGTCCAGAGATTGATCCTGACATTTTCAAGCGACTGAACTTCCTTGACATGAAGTATCAGTTGTGTAAGCAACCATGCAGCAGATAATTTCAAGCGTGGAATTGTCATGGTCTTCAGCAGTGCTACTTGCGTTTTTGAACACAAAAGTGAGACCTTTATGTTCCTATCAGCGTCAGTGACTCTCAAATAAACAGCGGCAGCCATAGAGTGTTGCGAAGCGTCTGAGAACCCGTGCAATTCTATTGTTGCTCCAGGTGCAATATTATTCCAGCGTGGAATGCGGATGGATTCGATGTTTCGAAGATCCTCGCGGTATCTTAGCGATATCAGGCTGTCGATAATGCGTTTGGCGAAAGTGAACTTCACATTCGTCTTCTTCAGCGGTGTTGAGCGGTAAATTACCTGATGGAAACTCATCCTATTCCCATCTCCATAGCGAGTTATTTAATGCCCGAAGTCGAGTTTTCAGTCTTATTAAAGGTGGAAAGTTCAGCGTACCGGTGTACGAATGACTACTAAGAGCAGCACCCGATGTGCTCTGCGATGCTCCTGACACTCGACCCTTTCTAGCGATAATAAACTTCACTCTCACAACACAATTATTAGCGGTATAATTATTTAATTTAAGGAAGTCCTTTCGCTCCAGTTAAGTGACAACAACTACAGTAGTCAATATTCAATAAATTAAAAATAAAAAAAACCCAAAAAATTCCTAAAATAAACAAATAAATAGTATATGAGGCATTAATCGTTGAAGTTTTGAATATTAAAAAAAAATTGTTAAATACAAAAATTAATTTGACTCTTGTAAATCAGCTGTTAGTAACCTGTCCGTGATTTGGGAACGCTTTATTTCGGTTGTTTACATTTTTATTTGCATAATATAACCTTACCCATGTTTAACTTTTTGCAGTGAATGTAAATAAATAAATTAATTAAAAATGTTTAGTCACAAAACCATAACATTCTAATATCTCATGAAAGGAATGCAAGTATTTTTTAATTATTGTTTTATTTTTCAATTATGAATTATGAAAATTTGTTAACAATAAATTAACTAATAAGTATGTATGAAAAACGTAAGTGCGTTTAAGTTTAGTTTGAATTTATTGAATAGTCTGAAGCTCGAGCGCTACACAACGTTGCCAAATGTTCTGACGCCATTTAAATGTAGGTTACTTGAAAATTTTCTGTGATTTATAATTATAATTTCTCTATAAATTCCACGGCAACGTATATATTTTATTGCAAAAAATGAAACCTGAATATTTCGAAAACCTTATTTTGAGTTTATTTTTACCCCATCTAATCGGTGGTTAATGTCATAATTCGAGAAAGTTGTTACGGTCTGACTTTCTCGTAAGACTCGCAAAAAATACTAACATTTTTAGAAAATTTTTTATTTCAAAAATTTGCACGGTGAAGTATAAATTAAACTTCACTAGTAGATACATAAAGACTTGAACTATTAGATAAAAATTAATTTTATGCATGATCTAATATTTGTTATTTAACATTTGATGGCGGAAGGACCGTCCTTAATTGAGATAGAGCCAGCCTGATCCGGCTAGAGGGACCAAAATGTACAGGATTATCCTATATGCCAGATGTTCTGACGCCATTTAAATGTAGGTTACTTGAAAATTTTCTGTGATTTATAATTATAATTTCTCTATAAATTCCACGGCAACGTATATATTTTATTGCAAAAAATGAAACCTGAATATTTCGAAAACCTTATTTTGAGTTTATTTTTACCCCATCTAATCGGTGGTTAATGTCATAATTCGAGAAAGTTGTTACGGTCTGACTTTCTCGTAAGACTCGCAAAAAATACTAACATTTTTAGAAAATTTTTTATTTCAAAAATTTGCACGGTGAAGTATAAATTAAACTTCACTAGTAGATACATAAAGACTTGAACTATTAGATAAAAATTAATTTTAT